CTTTCCCCTGCCGCATCCAGAGCAAAAAGGGATGGAGCGGTCACAGGACGGATGCAAAATCCAGGGGAAGCCGCAGCGTCTGGTAGCAGATTTCTGAGTAGGTGTGAAGGGGTGATATTTCTTCTTCAGAGCCTGATAAAGAATGTGGTAGGCGTGGGGATTTGTTCAGCCTTTGGGAATGGTCAGAGGCACCTCCTTGGGACAGGAGCATCCCACTGCAGAGCCTTGCACCATGGCAAAGGGGGGACCAAGCTATTTCAGTAAAAAGCTGAGGCAAGACAGTATTTCTCTTCCTTCTTATTGCCTGAAACTGGAAACTTCAGCTCAAGATTAACTCATAGTGCGGAAAGTTTCAGCCTAAGCAATTTAAACAGTTTAAAAAAAAAAAAAGCAGGTTATAATTAGGTGTAACCTTCTATGCCTTGGATGAGATTTCCCATGCTGTGGGAAGAGCTCTTCTGTTCTAGAGACCCAGTTTAGGCAAATACAATAAAAACTTGGTTGTGACCTGGGCTGCCCAATTCCTGTCTGCTGCGGGCTGTGCCCTCTGTCAGCAGAGGCTTCCTGAAGCTGGGGCCAGGCAAGCCCATCGCCACGGTGGTGTTCTCACCGTCCCAATGGCTGTCACTGCGATACGCACCCCTCTGCCTTTCCCCTGCTTGCTGGTGGGGATAGCTGTGCTGCTGCGGTACTGTGTTGGCTTGTGGTATGAAAGGAAGCTCGGTGTGTTCCCAGGAGCACTGCAGCCGGCCCCTGCAAGCCACTGCCCACCCAGATCCACCTGCAAGGGTGGGTCGGGGCCTCTCTTGCACCTTGCGCCTTGCACTCACCGCTGTGGTCCTGCCCTTTGCAGCTGTGCTCGTGCTGAGGGGTGCCGGAGTCTGAGAGAGACAAGGCTGGGCTGCGAGCCTCCGTGTCTGCCAGCAGGTTGAAATCCATGGGGCAGGAATGAGTGGCGGAGGAGGAGGAATCTGAAAAAGCAGCAGGCACAGGGTGATTAGGGAGATGAATCTCTGTGTGTGACCTCTCCTCATCCCTTCCAGGAGGGACTTGCCAACCCTTGAGGAAAGGTCCTAGAAAAGCAAAGGATCTTTGTGTGATCCTTGGACCCTTTGAGTTTCCTGGCTGGAAAATGGACATGCCAGGCTTTCTGCTGAGCTTCCCTATAAATCAAAAGTCATCTAGTGACACTTCTATTTGCAGCCTTCAGAGAAAGAGCCTCCAATTTATAGGTGACATTCAGACTGAAATAGCAACGCCAGGAGCATGCTGTGTAACGGAGATCTGAGGAAGTGGTTCTGGGCCAGCCAAGGGCTGTTAGCACCTTCCTTAGACATCCCGCCTCTCCCGTCCTCCCTGTCCAGCTTCCCTCTTCTTTCTCCCTCACTCCTCCACAAACCCGTGAAGCTCAAGTAAAGCTGTCCAGAGAGCGCTAACACAAATTTACATTCATCCATCCAAAAAGAAAAGCACTCCTGTGCATGGCACTGATAGAAAGGTCCTTGCCATGAGCAAGGACCTGGACAGTGCAAGTGGATTCCTCAGGGGCACACACAGACCTCTAGAGCCTGAATTAACACGGGATTTTTGTTACACATGCGAATGAGTGGTCCTGGCTGCAGCAGCAGCTCACTTGCAGCCTTAGATTGTCCTGGCTGAAGGCTCTCTGTGTCCCCTCAACTGACCGTCCTGTGTCTGTGAGCCATCTCCCCTGGCTAACAGCATCCCAGCTGGTGTTGCTCCCCGCAACTGCAGGCACCAGGGGGACTCCTCTGCCACCGCTTTCCACAGCTCTCTGTCCCAGGATCAATTATTGTCATTGTGATCTTCCTTGGGGTCCCTGCACCCTCCATCTGCATTGCCCAGAAGAGCTCCACTTTGATCTAGACCACATGGAATGCTCATGAAGAGGCAGGCATGAAGTAGTAAGTGCTACAAGCCTGGCCACATCACCTTGGAAAGGTGAGCTTGGTCCTGTGTCAGTCTTTAATCCAAGTTTTGGATCGTAACCTGCTGTAAGCAGGATGATGCATTGCCAGAAACACATGTGTAATGGTTTCTGAAGGCTGGGGCACTTTGAGGGGACCACAGCAGCTCCTGAAACTCTGGTGACCCCAGGTAATAGCTCACCTTCTGAGCTATGGAGCCTCTCACTCTAAAACATAACAGCAGCTGATGCACTGTGCCAGGATCCAGGGCCTCGGGGTTTAGTGGCTTTGGACCAGATGTTTGGGACTTGCAAACTGCAGGTGGAGATCAAGCTGTGTAAACTGGATTCTCACTGGTGAAGGATTGCCTGGCCCCTCAAATCCATGCATGTCAGGGAGGGAGCCTGGTGAAGGCAGTATTTTGTCTGGACTGTGCTAGCATTTAGACATGTAAACAAGAGATTAATCACGTAGCTGTTGCACCTCCTTTGGAGGTGGATGACAGTGACTAAGAATGTATTTTCAGAGCTGTCTAAAACCTCCTGTCAAGTTGAGTAGGGCTGCTGCCAGGACCCTTGGCAAGGCTGACCCCATACCTGCACTGTGCTTCCCAGGCCATGGTGAGAGGGCAGGGAGCCATTTCTAATAGTTATCTGTCTGGTTTCTACAGCAGAACTTGCTCACAAAACCCTCAGCAGTTTCTCTCACTCTCCCCTTTGCTTGACCTCCATGCTCAGCCTTTCCCAGGCAGTGATGAATCTATATCGATACCAGCCTCAACCGGCGCTCTCCAAAAGCAGCATCTAATGAAGGGACCTGGTGTTGGTTTCCTATACCTTTGCCTCGCTCTGGGCTTCTCCTCTTCTGTGGGAGAGCAGTGGCAGAGGCTCCATCTTTGCCGTGAGGCTGGTTTCCATTTCCACCTCGTGGTGAGCCTGACCTTTGATGTCTGCTGGCTGTGTAAGTTCCTGGCAGCAGCAGGGCAGAGCCTTGTTGCTTTTTGCCATGTGTACGTACACGAAGTGATGTGACGGGGGCTGTGTTTTCTTTAATACCTTTGCATGGAGTAGGGTGAGTCCATCTGCTGCTGATATTGCCATGGCTTTTAGCATTACTCTCAGAATTATGCAGAAACGCGCAGTGAATTAATTCCGTGGATTAAGTCTTGATTAAGATGTGTGTCACTTTGCTGTCTCAGAATTTATTAAGAGCCCTTCTTGAGGCGGCGGCAGATGGAATTTCTGCCCAATGTTTGTAGATGATAATTTCCCCTCTTCTACAGCCATTTGCATATGATTGCATCTGTCAAGCACAATTTCCTCTCTTCTAGGGCTTGACTCTCTACTGGACCAGATTTAAGGAGGAATTCAGTCTCCTCCTTGCTATAACTCAAGGACAGTGTCCTCCTGCACGGGGTCCTGTTTGCTTTGAGACTCTTTTTGCACATCTTGCGCTGCTTTCATCTGTGCAAACCAGAGCAGAGACGGGAAAACCACAGCTGAGTATTTTACAGCTGGTTCCATAGGTTTAAATGACAACACAAGGTTCCAGGCTTAGGGGAACCTAGTCCTGGTATTGAAAATTCATGCTCCATCCTGAACTGCACCAGTGCAGTGGTTATGAGGTTGGTCTGAGCTGCTTGGCACGACACAGCGTGCTTGGCCTGCCTCAGCGATGCAGTGGGCACCTAGATTAAAACAAGTTTTAAAGTGTGGCCTATACTCAAGTCCAAATGAGTACTTGCAGCTGGGAATAAGTTTGCTTTTTGAACTGGATTTAGAACTAGAAGGATATCGAAGGGCAGATTTTGTATGTAATTACATACCTATTGCGTGTGCCCTACATGGTGGTATCAAGGAAGGTCTTCTCAGCTCACTGTGAGCAGGTCACAGAGAAGAAAAAGCAGAGAGAGAGGAAAATCTGCTCGGCATGTTTATGAAGGACTGCAGGAAAAATCTGCGATGGGGACAGTACGTGAGCTTTGTACCAATGTATTTACCAAAGGCAACCCCATGCCACTCACACAAAAGGCTGTAGGTATTATTCTAGATTATACAGCCTTTTCAGATTTAATTAAAGGAGCTTTCTTCTGCATTGGCTAGATCTCACTGTAGGCAGAGACATTAAGAAAGTCAATGCTAAACCTTCATGGCATTTCTACTAAGTTGTTTGCCTGGTCTCAGGGAGTTACTGAAATTGGCACCTCAAAAATGTCTTTAGACAAAATCAAATTTATCTCCATCTGAGTTTCCATCTCACTTTATTTTAACATAATAGAGTGGTTTCTTTAGGGACAGCTCCTGCACTACCAACATGCAGCCAGGCTTACTCAGAGGTTTCAGTTTTGTTAAAGTAGCCCTGGCTCCTAGCCTGCTCCAGCACCTGTAACTCCTTCCACAGACGTATGCAATTTCTCTCAAGATAAATGCTTCCAAATCTGTAAGAAACGTGCCTTTTCTTTGAGTTGCTACCCATATGCATTCTCTCCCTGGCTCCTGTGCAACGGTGCTGGTGGCCACCTGCACAGGGCCCTTCCAGCTGGATACGACCTGCTGTCCTTGTCCCACGAGCATGGTGGAGGGCACGGGGAAGAGAGCAGTTCTGGCTCTAGGCTTTTTTTCCTTTCAGGTTAACCCCTTTCTATTTCTGCACCAGTGCCAGGCTGCACAAGCCAGGGCTGTTGGAGCAGGATGAGGAAGCAACTTCTGTACATAAGAAGGGCAACCTCCTCTACCCAAAAAGGGAAAGTGAGAATCCCCATGATCTCTCTCTCGCTGCTCCATTATCTGTGAGCAAAGATGCCTTGGCTTGTTTTTGTGGGGTTTTTTTGGGGGGGGGGTGGGAAGGAAACATAAAGGCTGACATAAAGGCTGACTGTGAACCATCTAAGGCTAATTATAGTGGTGGCTTTCGTGATGTGGATGTGGTTTGCTGAGAGCTGCCTTCAGATTGACGAGTGTGTGCTGCTCAACTCTCTGCACTACCATTGGGGAGC